CTCAGTACAACCTCCTCTTTATTGTGTTTGTGCACTAAAATTCACTTATTAGTATGATGGGGTTCCCCCCAAATTGTTTTTCTAGACCTTTGCAGTTATATAGTGACAAAAATTGGAACTACCACTATTTTATTCTCTAGGGTTTCTGCTTTAAAATTTTTAAACACGTGTAAAACAAAGGCTCTGGCAGCAAAAGGGTTAAATCACTTTAGTGGTAAGTGATGATAAAAAGAAACTGCATATATAGCCTGTAATCTGATTTCCCTTTTAGTTCATGAAGACAAATGCACATTTCCACAAGCTGTTCAAGGATGTTCCAAAGGATGAGCTATTGAAAGAAAGTAAGTAAACAACTCAAATGTAATCTTGTTTGCATGCAAAAATTGAGTACTTTAGATCTTGAAACTTAGTGTTACTAAACCAACAACCGTAAAATCAGTCTGTATATGCAGTAAAGCATGCTTGTTATACTCCCTGTGGAACCCAAGGGGTTAATCCTCTGCATTGTGTAAAAAGGCTGTTTGATCTGGTCTTCTGATCCTCCCCTTTTTTTGACAATCCCCAATCCATCTGCTGATAGAACCAATCCTTGGGGGCAAGCTGCACATGCTCAGTTTGGTGTATATTGCTAGTGTTTGGGAGATTTTTCTTGGGAGAGTGCATGTAATCAGCACAGGGAAAGTCAGCGCACTGTCCAGAGGGTCAGGGGTTCTGCAGCCTCTTGAAACAATCAAGGGAAAATGAAAACTCCAAGTTTTAACCAGTGCTCTGTTGGACACTGATAGGAGTCACACGACTGCTCTAACTGCTAATGAGAAAAGGTATTTAGCAGTTTATTTACTGTAATTGCATTTGTAATTGCATTTCCATGTTGTGTAGTATGGGAGACCAGATATAGTGAATGCAGGGTCATAGATTAACACTTTAAGGTTGGTTTGTAATCGAAAACCCAACAAACGCCTGGACAACCTTTTTTTTTTTTTTTTTTTTTTTTTTTTTTTTTTTTTTTTTTTTTACTTTACGCTAGGTCTCTGTGCTTGGAGTAATTTTACAGATCGTTATTATTATGGGGAGGGGACCCTGGTGGATTTTAATGCAAGGTCTACGTTAAGATGTTGCTGTGTTTGATGGCAGCGGATGAAGGGGTTGTGTCCATTATCTAGGTAATTCAGGTCTATTTCTAGCACAAAAAGCAGTTTTAAGGGTTTTTTTCTTTCATAGAAAATACACCTTGGCAATTCTACCATCAAAACATTTTACTTTTTTCAGCACTGCTGCATCCTTTGGCATCCTGTTAAGTACTCCCCATGCATGGTTTTGTAACTTTTTTTTTTTTTTTTTTTTTTTTTTTTCTTGTCTGGAGTTTTTGATTTGCCCCTTTCTATTGTTAAAAGCGTATTTATAGGCGCAACTTTTTATTTCATACAGTGTAGGGAAAGGTTAAAACGAGTTTTTTAATTTTGGTATCTGTTTCCCATAAAACAAACTGTATTCATTTCAGGCTGCAAAACCGCAAAATGTAATTGTTTTTATAGGGGGTAATTATTTTCTATGCCCACTGTATGTTACAAATGTCTTAAACTGATCTTGCCTTTTGAAAAATATATCTGATTGCTACTAGTTTTTGCTCAGAAGTTTAGAAATATGCTTTGTAGTCAATTGTGAGTGAAACATCACGTTGAGTTTTTTTGCTGCTCATCATTGTTCTCTGTAATCTGTTTTAACCCCATAATGATGCAGTAACATGTATTTGCGGCGTCTAGGAGGTGAGCTTTAAACCTGGGCTCTGCATATATATGTTTTATGTGCTGGGAGCGAGCTCCCAGCACACAGACAATGGCTCTCGCCAAGAACTGGGACCAGGTACTCCCAGTTCCTGGTCACCTGATTGCTGTGATAGCTTCTGATTGGCTATCAGTATTTGTGCAGCCTGCCCATGTTTTTTTTTCTTGCTCTTCTAAATGGAGAGATGCTTTGCAATCTACAGCTTTCTCCCCTGGAAGGAGATAAACCAGTGTGTAAACAGCAAGTTCAAGGCTTGATCTAGGTCGGAGTCAGGGACAGTGTTAGGCTCAAAGGTAATCCAGTATATATTAGGTAGGATTTTTAAAAAAAAGCCATTTTTTTTAAAATCGGTAAAATTAGGTAAGATGAAACTGTTTCTGGGCCATAATTTACTATTCACCACCAAATGAGAGCCCAAATTTTTTTTTTTTTTTCCCAAAACCAAATTGGGTCTGGACATTGGGGTTTGTTTTACCCTTGGTCATGAAGTAGTCAAAAAGGATTATAGGTGGTTTAAGATAGAATGCATTTAATGAAGCAAAAATGAGGTGATCTGAATGGCTTATGGTGTACAATGCAAGCTCCATATATGTAATTGCAGTATCTTTTTACCACTTGTGGACCGACGACGTACCTATATGCCTGGTACCATGTTTGAGAGCCGGTGGTCTGCTCTCCTATAAAAGCAATCCTAGTGGCTAACTAGCTGCTGGATTGCTTTTACAAGCAGCAGGAGGGGACCCTCCCCAAGAGTCCAGCTGAGACTTTGATCGGCCCTCCACTATGGTAACCCAGAATCCGTGACTTGACATCACTTCCGGTTTACCCGGATGTCAATGGCGCCAATTTGAAAAGAAAAAAAAAAAAAATTGAACGCCTTCGAGAAAACAGATCTTGACAGTAATAAGTGTTCCAAAAAAAATCGTAAGTGTTACTAAACCCAGGACCCTGCATTCACTAGATCTGGTCTCCCACAGTGTACATAATTTGTTGCCCTTGCACGGGCATGTGCAATTTTAACATGGTTGGTATCTACTCGGCGTAACTTATATATTTTTTTTTTTCCAAACAAATTGGGATATTGTTTGCATTAAAATTAAAGTGTGTGTTTTTTCCCAACAAATGGCATTTAAAAAACCGCTGCACAAATGCTGTGTGACATATTAAAAAAAAAAAAAAAAAAAAAAAAAAAAAAGTTTGGGGGTTCGTATGGTGTGTTTTTTTTTTTTTTTTTTGTTTTTTTTTACATGTAAACAAGTGCCTGGAGATCAAGTGGTTAAAGCAGGGGTGGCAAACTGACCCACGCACCCCTGTTTTTAATAACCTGTGGAGACAAAGCCCCATAGTAGCAGAGGAGGCAATGAACATGACTGTTGGGAATCATATTGGTGTGTCCATTTAAAGGGAATTGTTTACAAATGAAAGTAGCTTTTAACAAAACTTTTGCTACCAAGTTTGGCTATAGAACAATGACATTGAGGTTATTCTTTTGAGTGACGTTACTGCCCAAAATTAGTATACAGCTCAGGAGGTGGAGAAAGAATGCCATTTGACGCTTCTCACTTTGGTTCAAAAGGGCTCTGTCGCAAAGTAACAAACAAAAGTCTTTACTTTCTCCAGTATAGGACTGCTGGTGTTGGCAGATGACTCAACCATTATTCTTATTATACAGGATTTATATAGCACCAACAGTTTTCTCAGCGCTTTACAATATTAAGGGTGACCATACAGCAACAATACAGTTCAATACAAGAGGGTTAAGAGGGCCCTGCTCCTAGGAGCTTACAATCTAAGAGGGAGGGGCTGGTGGTACAAAAGGTAATAACTGTAGGAGATAGACTGGTAGGAGGAATAAAAGATTCCGTTATTAGCTGAAGCCAGGTAGGCTTCCCTGAAGAGGTTTTCAGAGATCACCTAAAAGTGGGCAGAGTAGGGGATAGTCTGATAGATTGGGGTAGAGAGTTCCAGAGGATGGGAGAGGCTCTGGAGAAGTCCTGGAGACTAGCATGGGAGGAGGAGACAAGGGAGCTAGAGAGGTCATGCGAGGAGCGGAGAGTACGGTTTGGGTGATATTTGGAGAAAAGGTTGGTGATGTAATTGGGGGCAGAGTGATTTAAGGTTTTGAATTTTATTTGTTTGCCAATCCCTCCACTGGCTTTCCATTGCCCGAGAGGGGTGGCAGATACGGAATGGCTAGTAAGGTGGATGAGTCTGGCAACAGCATTCATGATAGACTGAAGAGGGGATAGCCTGCGATGAGGTAGGAGGGAGACACAATTTAAAGTGGAGATGAGACAGCAGCATTGAACTAATATAAGAGAAATTCTAGCAGACAATCTTGCTCTGAAATATTACTGGATTTTTTTTCTCGTTTTTAGGTTTTACGTGTGCATTACAGAAAGAGATTTTGTACCAAGGAAAGTTATACATTTCAGAAAACTGGATTTGCTTCCATTCAAAGGTGTTTGGGAAAGACACAAAGGTTGGTGGAAAATCGGCAATTTTTTACGACTTTCCTTTTAAACAGAACATTTTACTAGGAAGGAGTGTAGTTACTTAAATGGACCTTGCCATGAACTAGGTGTCAAAATGCCCTTTCTGCTCCTCCCGCTCCCTTTTCTAACATTTAAATTTTTTATATATTTTTTTTAATTTTAAGGCACTTTTGTGGTCCAGGCTAGAATGTTTTGTTTTCCCCTTCTGGATTCTGTACACGTGCTTATGTGCCACAGGGCTTTAGCTCACAAGTGAGCCCTGGGGCACATCTGCACATGTGGATTTCCTGGACATTGTGCGTGGATGGGGGGAACCACTCATATGTAATGATGGCAATTATGGTCCCAAAGCTTCGCTGCGTTTGTGTACGCATGGGGAAATCTCCATGTGCACAGATGTCCCAAAGGATCTGCCAGGACTGGAAGGCTGGGCAGAACCCTTCTGTACATCTCTGCCCACTCCACAAATGTACAAATATATGCTGCACTGCTGTACAGTGCCATATAGTTCTGTGCGCTGCGATAAAATGCAGCATATCTGTCCCTGCATGTGTGAATTGGCCCTTTTTGTAATTTCATGATCTCGACTATTCAATTTACTAGTGCTTTATAATCTGAAAAGAATGTTTAATTATTTTGCAGATTGTAATTCCAACAGTTGCGGTAACTGTGTTAAAGAAAACCAAAACTGCCTTACTTGTGCCAAATGCCCTTGTTATTGCTACTGTCACCGATCGAGTGCGAGTAAATCGCTGAAATCTTGGTGTCCTGTGTGATGCTTTGCACGCTTTTCTAATATGCATTCTTTAAATAAAAAAAACTGTGGCCTGTAATTTTATATCCATTTTGGTAGGAATGCTTACTTACAGCTTTTATTCATGTGGTGCGTCAAGTGACAAAAGCAGATCTCTAGCCACACTAGACACTGAAACGTATATAGGGTGTGAACAGTTGGGCCCCATTCACACAGCTGTAAAAAAAAAATTACAAGAGGTTTTAATTTATAAATCTGAATTCAGCTGCATTCTTTTCAATAGACATTCCCATAGATGTGTAAACATGCACTGCCTTAAGATCTGTACCACAGAATCCAAAAGTTCCCCTCTAAGGCATGCATACACACATCTACCTTTTGAATCCATAACGTTTTATGGCTATGTTACAGCCATGTGAATGTAGCCTTATTCCTGCCAAAGCCTTTAGAATTCCTTTGAGCTAGCTTCATATGCTGCTCATGATAGCTGCACTCCATACTCTGCCTGTGACATCACTGTTAAATATAAATGCAAGTGTTTTATACAGGTTTGTGTTTCTTTTAAAAACCTTTCTGTCTTCATACAGTTCATATTTGTGTCCTTATTATCACGGGATTCCACCTACAAGTTATTGAAGTCTGTCTGCAGCCACCTTGATGTAAGTATTCAGACAACAGTGTCTGTGTTTACTGCAACTGGTAAACACACAAAGGGCATATTTATAAAGTGGTGAATCTGACATTTATAATATTTACTGCTTGAAAGCGAAAAGGTTCTTGTCACCTTTATCTGTTGGCACTGTTTGGATCCATATCTAATGTTTGCCTTTTAGAATATGAGTTAGATTTCCATGGGGAGGTTTTGGTCACATGACTCTCTTCCCTTCAGGTTTTCCATTTGCTCTTGTGCTGCAGACAGGAAACTGCTTTTTGGTGTAAACCCATTTATTTCTGTTTTTATTGAAGGTGGTATATGGCTATGAATAAGAACCTCTGTTTTAAAATACAGAAACCAATTTTAAATGGGGTTTGAATAAACATATTTGGATATGTTTTGAACCACTTTTGGGAGTATGGCAATGCACAGACAGTTGGATTCTTTAAAGCAGTTGTAAACCGCAGCATTGAAAAGAAAAAAAAAACAATTCCCTGCAATACAATGCATACTAGCACATTATTAAAGACTTGCCTTAAAACAATGCCCTCCAGCAGCACGCTGTCCCCGCTGCTGAGACTTCCATCTTCACCAGGTCTTCCTTCCGGGTTCACAATCTCCGGCCGTCTGACTGGCATGCGTGCGGGATTCTCGGGCCATGGAACAGTGCTCTGAAGTATCAGCACTGGTATGCCATTCCTTCAGGACTCATGCATCGGCTATGAAGAGATTATCTCCTAGTTGGAGCATGTTTAGGAGATATTAATTTTACATATATAGGAAAGCTTTATTATAAGCTTACTTGTAGGAAAAAGATATAAAAGTGGTTTACTTCCACTTTAATTCTCAGACCTCTTTTGGGAACATTGTTTGGCACTTAGTTTTCTTGTGTATTTACCCTCGCCACTAAGTCTGTAGAAGATTAACTTCTTTTTAGAGGGATCAAATGGAGGCTGTGCTCAAAGGTTTTTTGGAGTTGAGCAATAGGACTGAAGCATAACATAGCAAAAACAGATGGACTTAAAACAGAGGTTAATAATCAAATCTGGAATGTGACACTACTTGGTTACTTGTCTTTGTGACTGCCGGTGACACTAAACTTGGCTTAAAAAAAAACTAATTTTTCTGGTTTGTATTAACTCAAAGCCTCTTCCAAACTTTTTTTTTTTTCACTATTTTACTGTTATCTGTGACCGCAACTACCATGCACTTCTTATTGTAGCAGTGGAGAACATTACAAGAGGAAACAAAAAAAACTCAGTAAAACTATTTCATGTAAAATATATTACAGGGCCATTGAGTAGTGGATGTGTATGGATTTTTGGTTGTACGGATGTAGTTTAGTGTCCCTGTTAAGTTCTCTTGTGCAGTTGCTTTCAGTTGAACATGTAGGCTAAGGCTGCATTTACACTTTCGCATAGCGGGAACACGCGTTCCTGGTCACGATTTTGGTTGAGTGATTTTCATGCGAGTTCACCTGTTGCACATAGGGCAGCCCATTCATTTCATGGGCTGCCATATGCACATCTCTTGCCCAAAAAGCTCATGCTTCTTTTCGGGCGACAAGCTTCATATGGTTTTTAAAGACTTGTTTGCCTTGATTGATGTGCAACATTGTGCATAAATCGTGGCAGAATTGCATTGCGTTTGTGGTGCTATCAAAGGATAATGGTGCCCAAGTGCGCTCGTTGTACACTGATTGCTGCGCAATTTGGAAATGTGGGCAAAATTGCGGCAACCCTGCCCACGATTACAAATCATGAAGTGTGAATGGAACCTTTAGAATAGGTGGATAGTACTCCTCATTGCTTTCAGCACTGAGGTCATGAATTCACTTTACATTAGCAACCCACCATTTATGAGCTCTAGCCAAGAGCCTTTAATCTCCCACTTCCATAGTTGATCTGGGAGTAAACAAAGTGGTGTTCAATGCAAAAGCCAACATTATATTGAAGCTTGGATGTGGTGGCTTCATTTCTTTTTTGTTTTTAGGTTTATTTTATGTTCACCTGGCAGTCTAACCAGTATGTCTGTAGATGTAGCAGAGGGTTGAGACAAACCATTTATCCTTACAATGATCAGCTTTTATACATTTTATGTAAAACCTTTATCCTAAAAGGAACAAACCCGTTGCTGTACCTGCTTATAAAGTGTCAGCTGGAGCTTGGCTTCATGTGCTTGTGCACCAACACTACCTTTTCCGACTGACAATGCTGCTGTACAATGGTGTCTCTTTGCTCCTTCATCTACAGTGTAAGCACCCTATTACAGGATGTGTTACTGGCCAGATCACCAAGTGAAAACAGAGTAGGAAAAAAGAAAACAAATACATCTATAGCTAATGATTGGTACACTGCAATAGATTACATTCCACTTTAATTGTCTTAACAATTTGACCATAGGATAGTGGTGCACAACCCTAATCCTTCAGGTCAGCAATTGTTGCATATTTTCCCAGCTATCTGATACAGTTGTATAAAAATTCTCCTGCGCTCAGAGACCCAGATAGGTGGTGGGTGGATGGAACAAAAACTTGAAAAAACTCGACCACCAATGCATACAGGGTTGTGCAGCTCCAAACAAGGCTGGGGAAGCCCGACCAGTACTGCAAAACAAACGGCGCACCAACCAGGTTGGTGCGCCTTTTTTTTTCGTTTTACACAGTCAGTTGTGTTAGTGACCTACATAGGAGAATAATTATCTCACATTTTAATCTGAGGGGAGCTGAAAACGTGCACAGTTAGGGAAAGGTGGGAGGGGGGAACCTTAAAGTCTGATGCTCAGCTGCCCTAGATTGTTTGTACAGTTGTTTTAAGAACATTATTGTAATCTCCTTCAGAAACAGGGACTGATGTACTTTGTAAAGCTTTGTAGAATGTGCCAGCAAAACAAAATAACTAAGGTCTGATGTTGCAGTCATTCTGTGTTTGTTTGTTTGTTTTTTGTTTTTTTACTGTGACCGGCATAGTTTTTCATCTTACTGTGACCGGCATAGTTTGTTTTCATCTTACTGTGACTGTCATAGTTTGTTTTCATCTTATAGAACATAAGTGTTGGAAACAGTCCTAATCCTTCTGCAGATCACATTGACAGAGGCGAACATGCTACCTCATTTCCACTTGTAAGTGAAACACAAAATGTTCCAGTTTTTATATATGATTAGATATTCAGCACACTACATGTATCAAGTAAAAAAATATCAATGTATTGCTAGCCATAGTGTTCTGTTTGCTGTAATTTTCACATTTTGAGTAAAAACATTGGTGGTGTACAATTGTAAAACAAGTGCTTACAGGGGTTGTATACAAAATGGTTTTCTTTTATTTTGGGTCACCTGTTACAACCTGTTAGCGTGTACTTTGTACTTTTTATATGCAGGGTGTAGTGAGTCAGCAGGCTGGCCAAAAGGTAGGAAGGAGTTAGTTGGCAATTCCTGGGATATTTATGGTTTTGCTCCTTTTTGGTAGCCCATAAATTCAAGGGGAGGTAAACTTGGGAGAGGAGCAGGGGAGCTGGAGTCTTAAATTGCCTCCACATGGGAAGATGAGGAGTACTGTATGTGAACTCTAGGGGTGTCTTCTCTGCCCCTTGAAAGGGTACCCATTTGGGGTACTGAAGGGGCCTAAGGACTGTATGAACTTTGATGGCAGCCTGGATAGGAAAACTGCCTGAATAGGAGAGAGGGCAAAAAAAAGACTGTATCAACCTAATGCTTTTCAGTAAAAAGTTCAAAGTTAACTCAAGGTGCCTGGTCTAAAGTTCTTACAAAGGGGATGTATGTAATGGTGTATCAAAAGGGCTTGTACCAACTGGGGTTAAAAAGAAGCAGGAGCTGCCATACAAGGGTTAATCGTGCAAGGAAGTTGGTGGGAGACTTATCTAACAGCTGGTTTCCTCCCTAGCGACTGGTACCCCATACATAGGGCAGACATCGTGGTAGGGGGAAACCTATGCACCTAGCTGGGACGTACCGGAAGGAGAGAGTAAGACCTGGCCTGCACTGTGTGTGGCAGGATACTCTTACTAGGAGTGAGGAAGCAATCCTGGCTGGGCTGGGGTTTTGTGTGTTGTGTGTTTTGTGTGTTTTTTTTGTTTTTTTTGTTTTTTTTCCTTTTCGTTATACACTTATTAGTTTAGGACTGTAATAGTCATAAAGGCATCTTTTCCATTAAACTGAGTCCCTAAAAGCTTGATCAAATTAAGTGTTTAGAGATCCTAATATTTTGCTGGAAACACTAAAGTTATTTATTTTTGTCTCTAGGATTTCAGTGTAGACTTTTCAGAGATTGACGGTTTGGTACGCCACCGAAGAAAGGACATAGAAGAATACAGTAGCACAGGTTCTCAAACACCAGAATCTGAAAACTCTCAAGGTTAGCCCATGTTCTGTGTGTGTTTTTTCACTTAACTTCCCCCACCTGGCAATAGTTTTTACACTTTTTTTTTTTTTTTTTTTCCCTGATGTATTTTTCCACTTCCTGTAATAGGGTGACAGTGATATTTGTTCTGCATTAAAATAAATTGGCAGTTGGCACACTGTAGTCTTATTTGGGCACGTAGTTTTAATAAGAATGTTTAAAGTGGAACTACACCCAAAAGGGGATCTTCTGCTTGTTTGTAATCTCCCCCTGGGAATTGGTACTTATTATGAGGGGTGGGGGGAGAGGAGGTACCTTGGTTTTGACAGGTAGCTGCTCCCACTTCCGATTGAATCGCCTTGGTGATCTGAGCGCGAGTTCGCCCCCCTTCCCCAGCAGTCTTCTGAGACGCATCACAGGTCCCTGAAGATACAGTAAGTCAGCAGCTACAAATACTGGAACTGCTGAATTTTGCTAAACAGAAACAAGCCCAGAGACTAGCATTGTCTTCACATGGGCCAGTTCTTCAATGATCTTCAGGTCCCTGGCACAGCCATGTTGACTGTGAAGCCAGCTGTGACTTCTGCGTTAGGAGATATTAATTGGAACTTTTTTTTTTTTTTTTTTTTCTGTGAAGTTCTGCTTTAAGTGACCATTTTTAAAGTGGTATTAAACCCAAAAGAAAACCTTTTATTAGGCTCCATGCCCACCGGGCATTTTAATAACGCTGGTAACGTTAGCTGTGTTAAGTCACATTAAAATAAGTTTTTAAGCATTTTTGCATTAGCGTTTTAGCAGCGTTTTTTGCTTTTTAGTGGTTTTTTTTTTTGTTTGCTTCAAAAAAGTCCAAAAAACACTAGTTTGCCACGTTTTACCATGTTTTCCTGCGTTTTTCAGCGTTGGAGCATTTTTACATCTAAAAAACTCTAGAAACTCACTGGTTCTGGGGTTTTTTTTCCAGCCAAAAAACGCCCCTGACAAAATGCTGACTACAGTCTGTGTGCATGGATACTAGGATAACATGCTGGGGAGTTTACTGGCTGTAGAAAAAAAAATGCCAAAAGCCAAAAACAGCAGCTGTAAAAACCTCCAGTGTGCATGAGGACTTGTAGTGCATCTTACCAATTAGATGAGATGGCTGCATTCATTTTTCTTTTAGAATTTTTTTTTTCAGTAAGTCTGTTTTCAGCAGAACAAGCTCTCCTGTAAATGTAGCAGTTAGTGTTTAGATGTACCATTTACCACTGACGGGTGCGCACAATAATCTGCTTTTTATTTATGTGAAACTTTTATCCCAAAAGAAGGCAAAAAAAAAAATCCTGTAACGGCCTATAAAGTGTTCGCTGTTCAGCTTCAATATATTAGTGTACAGTATATAAATTTGCTAGTACTTTTAACACTATCCTCCTCTGACTGACAATGCTGCTGTTTAAAGGTACCTGTGTGCTCATTCATCCAAAGTGGGGGCCCTAATACAGGAGGTGTTACTGGCCAAATCACCAGGTGAAACCAGAGGGGGGGAAAGCCTAAAATAAAACTGAGCCACAACATCTGATTAAGCTGCAATATTACATTTTTGGGTTTAAAACTGCCTTTAAAGCCCAAGTCTGACAGATTTTTTTTTTTTTTACTTTTTATGTGTGTAAACCATGGCAGCAAAAGTTGTCGATTGTAAGCATACCTGGCAGAGTTTTATGGCTTGCCCCCAGCCTTTCCAACTAAAACTTTGTGTAGATTGGCCTTTTTAGATGAAATGGGAAAAATAATGTATCTACTAGCAGGAACAACAGAACTGTTAACGTGTGTAGGGGAAAATCAAAAACTGCTGTTAATGCTACTGACAGATTGCATCATATGTCGTCATTTATTTTGCCATTGTACTCCATTTAATTTACATTATCCCTACTTTCTGTATATGAATAATGGCACTGTAAATATTTTGAACATGTGACTAAAATAGAGTATTACAAGGAACAAATTAACATTCCATCTTACAAATTCGTGGAAAACATAACATTGTAGTAAAGTTAAATACTAGGAAGAGATAATACGGGCAGTAAACAATGGAAAGCTCAGATGTCATTGTAATTTAAAAAAAAAAAATCTAAGTACATTTTTCCTAATCGATATACAGCTGTCAAATGACCCAGCTCTTTCCTAGCCTGTCTGTAGGGAAACAGTGACAGGAGGAGCTTCTAGTCCTCTGCTGCTAGTCATATGTTCAAAATAAAAAGTCTATGGTGTAAAGAGTAAAAATAAATATCCTCAAACTGTTCTAAAACATTATTCAAATATATATTTGAAATGGTAACCTTTTTTTTACAATATCATAATGGATTTCTACCAGACACAGGCAGTGTCGCTCCCCTCCAGCATGTGTCTTAGAATAACGAGAAGGTGAAACCTCCATCAATCTACATGTAATATCACACCCCCATTGTGTCTAGCTGATTGGTGGGCATGGGGAAGGAAGGATGGAGTGGGCTGTCATTCACCTCTGTGTATACTCCTATACGTGTGTAGTCACATGGGCAGCTCAGATGTTATAGGGAGGAAATGCTCACTGAAAACTGAGCATATGCAGTAGCTGCCAACACTGCTCTGCAAAATCCCAAACTGCATTGGGGACATGGACAGAAGGGGGAGATGGAGAACAGTAGGATCAACCAGGTTTATATGCAGAATACAGAAAATAAATCCCATAGTGACTATGAACAGCATGTAATACAGCATTAATTGATAGTGTTTTATGATGTGGGTGACACTTTAATGTGCTAGAATATAACAGAAGTGGAATTTCCATTTGGTAAATGTTTTTGTTATTGCCATTGATTAACCATTTCAAATAACTTTAAGGCTGCTTTGACACTGATCTGTAATTGCTTTTAAAAAAAACCACAAAAACAAAGTGGAAGATACGCTTGATCATTAAATTCTATGTAACCCTTCACACTGCTGGTTTGTTGCGAGTCTATTGCATTTCTGCTTGCTGTATTTTTGGAGCAGTAAACTGCTCCAAACACACATCCCCTTTTTGAAATCCGTCAACTCGCCTGCAGTTGTATTTTTGGTGCATTTTTGAGTGATTTTTTTTTTTTTTCCACAAGTGCAAAATGCATTGGAAATGCGACCAAAAACGCATGTTTTTTGTTTTTTTACTGTGTTTTTGCAATGGAGCAGTGTGAAAGTATCCTAAATGAGCTTGCAGTCACAAATTAGGTATCAGTGGTACAACTAGATTGGTAAAACCCATCATTCTTCCTACCACATATGAATATTCTTATTTTGGAACTTTTTTCTGATCAATTTGCCCAATTAGAAGCTTTTTAAAAATACTAGAAAATTTTGTGAATAACCAGCATTGCAGTTGCAGGCCTTTGTTACTTAGTCTAGCTGAAAGACAAAAGTCCATCCAGTTCCGTCCAGTTGCTTCTGCTACTAATATAGTGGTGTTTGGTCCACTGAGAAGGTCAGTGCGTTGTTCTAAACATTTGTTTTACATGTAGAATTCCAGGTTCAAGACAAAAACGTCATCACAAAGTCTCACAACCCTGTAGTTGTGGAGAGTCAGATGAAGAGCCCTGAAAGAAGTAAACTGATTCTGCAAACGTCAGGCAAGTATTTTTCAAAAATGTTTTAATGCAAGCCGACATCTGAGCAAAGTATATTTACTGCATGTTCTTGTCTTACAGACCACAAAAGCTTGTTTAAGAGACTGAACGTTTCACAGATTACCTCCTTGAATGGTTTGCTTTTCTTCTATGCAATTCTGTAAGTTGACATTTTCATGGCATTCATTATATCAATGCTTGTTTAAGTTCTGGTCACAATGTAAGATGCCAAATATTCCCCCTGTAAATCTAACTTTTACATTCCTTTTATAATACTTCTACTGTGGCAAAAAATCATTTTAGTACTCCAGTTGAGGTTAAAAAAAAGTATTTATTGCACCATGCTTTACAGCAAAGTGCTTTATGCACTTTATAGCCAGTTTAGTCGGCCATCTTTCAACAAGCCAGTATATTGGGTGGGCTTTCCATTTTCTCGTCATGTCATAAATTACACCATGTGAGCACTGTGACGACCAATCACAAATGACTGCTGAGTATACAACGATCACCCGGCAGAGTGGCTACCAATCAGCTATATATCCAGATCTGTTGATAAACCTACAGCAGCACACAAGTGGTTAATGCCGAGTCTTCCGATTTTTTTTTTGCAGAAGTTGTTTTTTTTGCCTGTATAGGCCATGCTTGAGTGGTGATGGATGGCAGCTAGCATGCAAAGAGACCAAAGTGTGTCCTGGATGTTAGACTTTCATTATGGTGGGTGTGAACTTTTTAAAACTCCTGGAAACTGGCCTAAATGATGCATTTACTTAAGTCTACTATTAGCTTTGGGACACAAAACACTGAAGACCCTTTTCAGGCAGCTTGCCTCTGCTCCTGTCATTATTACTGATTAAGTTGGGTTAAGTGTAAACTAGGCGCAGCAAACCTGCCCAGAACAAGCATATGCACAGTGCAGACTGTTTCCTTTTGAAGCTTTTGAGCTGCTCTTTCAGAAGATAAATGCCATTTAACTCCCAATTGACCTTACACAAATATAAAAATATAACACGTTGTTATTGACTTGTCTAAAGCAATTTTTTGTTTTGGATAATTAGGAAAGGGTTTATAGCTAGCCCCTGTTCCAGATTGTCACCCCAGACATCTACAGAGGGGAGACTTTTCAGTGGATCACATGTTCCAATCACAACTGTCTGAGAGGAATTAATATAACTTCATTTCTGAACTTGTGGGGGGTATGTAAAACCCATGTAATCCAGACATGCAGTTAATAGCACATTTAGTAATATATTTACCTAGAAAAATGTGACGTGTTCAATACTTATTTACCCGCTGTATATTTTGAAGGCAATTATACATACCGAGTCTTTTTTGTTTTGCCTGTTTGCTTATGGGGCTTTCAACAGATAAAGTATGATTTTGAGCTATGTAATGAGCAACACAGATGTTGTCTGCTTATATTATTCGCAGCACCAGAACTATATGTGCAGCTCTCCTCTTGCTCCTTTTATTGTGCTGAACAAGAGTACTTGTGAAACTCCAGAAACCCCAGTTCATCAAGCATGGTCTGAATGTTCATTTCCTGTCTTTGGTACATGCTTTATGAGAAGCAGGCTTTCTTTCCCAGATAATCTGATTAGAGCTATGTAATGAGCTTCACATTATGCATACTGCTGAAATGTTCAAATTGTACTGTACAGTGTACATTGTGCCTATCTCTTCACAGGTCTGTCTGCTGATTCCACATTATATATGCAGTCAAGGATTGTGTTCTAGAGGAGCGGCTTTCCACACTTGGTTCTCTCCAGACTGGGTAAGTATTTTTTCTGGAGGGAAGGCTTCTGGTTAAGTGCCGGTTCACATGTATGCAGATTATATGCGGTTTGAACATGTGAAAAAAACATTACTTCCTATGGTGCCTGTTCACATGTCCAATGCACTGGTGGTGCGGATTCAGTGGGGTTTGAAAGAGTCCTGTACGTTTTCTGATCAGTGCCATCAGGTGCAGATTACAGGCTATTGACTTCTATGGGAACAGTTTCTTAAACTGCACATGTGTGAACAGGGTAAAATTCCGAGCTAATCCTGTCCTGAACTTAATGTAAACCTGAACTGGTGAACTACTGTATCAATTCGCTGTGAAACAGAGCTTCAATTCGCTCCGCACATGTGTGAATCAGCTCTAACCGTGCAATATCTTCAGATGACTTGGTAGCACTTACAAGTTCTGACACATTCTCATGCCTGACTATCTCCCCTCCTAAGTAGTTATGGTGCATCCTTACTTCTTAGGGATCGATATTGTGCTGTTTGCTTGTTTTTTTCTGGTCAGAGCAGAATTATGAGCTCTGTGTCAGACTGCAAGAACCTCCATAGTTGGATCTGTTAGCTGTCTGAGTTAAGGGATGATAGATTATCCTGTCCTGGCTACAGGAGGGAGGATTATTAAAGCCTTTAGCTTTTGTATTACTGACAGCACCTTTGTCATATAACAACAGTGTTTCGTTATGAGCACTTGAGTCTTGTAAACCTGCAATCTGCTCTGAGAAAAAACAATCAACCAAATCCTGAATGTCAGCATTTCCAGTTGTAGTATTCTGAAATATGAGCATTTCTGATGCTGGCACCAAATATTCTGGAAGTATATTGGATCTCCTTTTTTTACTGGACAGTGACCTGCAATTGCACAGTCTCATGAATCTTACAAATACTACAGTCACCGGTGCAATGCAATGGTTTATAATGTAGACTTGATTTAACTACCACTGCAAATAACCCTCCTACCAAAACTAAAGATGTTGAGGCTACTTCACAGGGGAGTGAGGGTGAGGTCCACTTTGCTCCTACAGAAACAATGCCAGGAAGTTTAGTCCCAGCAGGTGGTATTTTTGTAAATAAAGCAAAGGGAAACTAAGGTATATCTCTATGCATTCCAGTTGCCTCAACTTCTATGTTGGTAAATTGCTAACAATCCCTTTTTTTTTTTTTCAGGTGGTCGACAGAGCAAGGAATGAGCAGTTGGCATATTAACGCAAACCTATTATGTGAAGAATTAACTGCCAACCTGGAAAAACTTGACAAGGTAGTCTCCCATGTTGCTGTATGAAATCCATTAATGGGCGAACCCACCTCCTAACACATTTCATCTGATTTGGGGCTTGATAATAGAGACGTCTACGATTTAAGTCTCAAATCGGATGAAAGGAGTTTGAGGTGGGTGTAGGGGGTTCTCACATGGTTGGAGATTAGGCTTAAGCTAATTTGATACATTTGTGACTGGGGGTGTGGCTTAACTCAGTGGGGAGGTACCATTGTATTTTAGTCCTAGGATCAAGCTTGATGAACTTCTACCTTGCCAAGTCAGCACCTGGTAGCAAGCATTGAGTCTGCCGAAGTGGTACACTGGGTCATCAAGTGGTACTTTTTTTCCTTTTTTTCCTTAAGAACTTGTGAACCCGGACTAAATAAATTTGAAGGTGTTAATTGTGGGAATTCTGTGGTATGCGAGTGCCTACTTAAATCCAATCCCTATGGAGATCCTAACTCGCATACAACAGAATTCCCACAATTCACACAGTGCCTGCTACCAGATGCTGGCTTGGTAAAATTAAAAATTTGTTAAGCTTGATCCTGGGACCACAAGAAAATGGCGCCTCCCCATATAGCTACTGTACACCACAAGTCACAAATGTGTCAAAGTAGCTTCGGCCTGATCTCCAACCATGGGAGAAGCCCCACCCTCAAACTCCTTTCATCTGATTTGAGACTTAATCGTAGAGGCCTCCATGATTAAGCCCCACGTCAGATTAAACACATTGGCCTAATCTCCAACCATGGTAGAACACCCCCCCAAAGCTACTTTGGTACGTTTTTAAGGTGGACCTGGCCTAAATTTTAACGTAAAGGCAGACATGTTTAATTGTGGGAAATCTGTGGTATGTGAGTTAGTATTTAAATCCATTCCCTATGGAGATCCTTGGCTCCCATGCTTAAGCTGTACACGTTGTCTTGCTTTGGTACATGTAGATATTAAGCCTAACCACTGGTCATTCTACAGTTAGGTCTCTACTGCCCCTTGACTTTCAACCTATGACAGCAGAATGGCAAGGTTCGAACAACCCTATCATAAGATAGTTCCTCAAACATACCAGTTAAAAAAAAAAAACAAAAAAAAAAAAAACTGAATTCCTGTTGCCAGAATGCCACTCTGTTCAGTAGAAATTCTCATGACCTTTCAGGCATGCCAATCTCTATGGCCCTCCCCCACAGCTGTCACTAGTGTTTTATGCTGACCTCCATGTCATTACTGTGATCAGTATAGATATGGATATCTGAATGAGGAACCATCTACATCTAGAGGAGTGAGGAAAATGACATTTGCAGAACTAGCTAGAGGCTCAAAAACAAGCTTCCTGTGATTGTCCAATATTCAAGCACCTGTAATTTGAAGTGTTTTTTCAATGCCATACATATTTAAAGGGAACTTTTTTTTATTTAAATTTTTTTTCCCTCTATCTGTACGCATCCTGTGAGTTCTTGAATGTGTCTTGCAGATTCAGAGAAGCTTACAGAGGCTACTGGAAGATGCAGAATAAAGCGTATGTTTACATTGATGGTACACCAGTCTCTGCTGGACAGAGGAATTTTATTGCGGACTCATCACTGAACTGCGTGGAAAGCCAGAAATTTCATCTCAGGAAAGCTTTTTCTATTCCTTTCCACTTGTTTTTCCTCTAACGTGAACAATGTGATGGTTAAAGCCTTTTCACATTTCTTCTGACTCTTGAGAGAATTATTCTTACATTTCACTGTGAAAGACTGTTTTGCACATGTTCCTGTAAATGTATATTTGAAGCACTCCTCCCTTTTTACTGTCTTATTTATGTCAAAGTGCTTTGTTTGCTGGAACCATAAACCAGCCTGGTGGAGACTTAATGTTTGCAACATAATGCTGCCACTTTAAATCAAGTTACTGTGATAATGAGAATTGTATTGGGGTCTTCTAGCCTGTGAACTAATTAGCTCAGTGGCAATCTTAATGCCCATGTTGTCCACAATGTAATCAGGCACCATTCTAACCCTTGCCATTGATGACACAGAATACATTTTGTGCCATCGTACAGATGCATCCTATTCATCCTGAGATGTGCCTATAACAGGAGCCATCTCAGCATGATTTTGGGGGAGCTAAGAAGGTCTCTAATTGGTTTATGCAGTTATGGTTATAGCATTTATGTTTAAAATGAACCTGTCAGCCGATTGGCCATAACTTTATAGGCCTGAAAGTCCTTCTCTGCTCCTCTCAGATTAGGTTTTCTTTGTTCATTAAGGGCCTGAATTCTAGCCTAAACTTTACCCTCTACATTGTACCTTGTCCAGCATGCCATCTTGCATTGTCAAAGAAAAAAATGATACCTGACCAATGCTTAGGTGGGAAGACAGGCCTTTAGCAAAAAAGTGAAATGTGTATTCTGACAGCACGGAGCCTTCCCTGCCATCAGAATGCAATTATCCGTGTTGCCTACTATAGTTGGTGGATCTGATCATTTTGAGAAAAACTTGACAGGCTGTTGTACACAAGTCAATCGATAGATCATCTTGTGTACAACCAACCAGCCTGCCCATATGTGGATTGAAATTGGTCCCTGCTGAACTGGGCAAATTTTGATCATGCATGACCAGCTTAATTTTTCCAAGTCCCTTCCTTTTAATAGGATTACTTGACCTGATTGTGTCCACACTATACTTGGCCATATAAGCATTAGTATGGTCAGTGCTCCTGATACATAAATGCAAATAGATGTTCTGTTCCCATAAAGTTAACTAGGGAAGTGGCAATTTACTGTCAACCCTTCGTGATTGCACTGCTGCAAAAACACATGGGTAATTTAAATATTTCATTGTCAAACCCACATAAACTGTTTCATAATCTAATTCCCAAACATGAATGGACTCATACGTGATCATCCTTTGGCCAATGTATGGGCAGACAAAATTTATAAAATTATTAAATGAATGGTATACAGGCTTTCATATCCTCAATTTTGTTCATATCATAGACTTAATACAATGAGTGTTTTAGCATTTCATTTAAGGCACTGTTGCTCCTTTATTTAAATCCACTTGGCTAATGAGGTCTATTGTGTGGATTTTACTTTGTGGGAGGGTTAATACTTTGAACTGGTCACTAACACTTTGTTTTCCTGATATTGGCCAGGATTTTGTAAAGAGCAGAGCTGGACCAAAGAGTACTTCTGGAATAATTTGCAGTCGATGTCTTTGTAGCAATTCCACTTTGGCTGGCATTTTTTTGCTTTTGTCGTGTACCTATGCTTGAAAGTCTTTGCTCTTTACTGAATTTCAGTCAGTGTTTTCAGGACTTCTATGAGAAATTCAATACCTGGAAAATGTTGTGGGTTTATTTGTATAATGCATCAGTTACGCCATAACCTTTAACACTAGTCTTACAAAACGGGTTGGATTATTCCTGGATACCTGACCTGTTCTGAATCTAATGTTTATATGGTATAACTATGTGTTAACTGTAGTTTTTAATCATTTCTATGAAATGTTTGTCATATTGATAAAATATTAAATAAACTTATACCTTGCACATGGAGGGAAATGTTTTGTCTTCCTTTGAACTGAAAAGTAAAATGGTAAATGCATTTTGGAGGAAAAAAACCCTTCAATTGAAAGGGTTAGGTTGCTTTTTTTTTTTTTTTTTTTTTTTTTTTTTTTTTTTTTTTTCTTTGAATTGCCTTGTGGTCACATTGCCCCCTGTATGGATGGGAAAATTTGTTCAGATGCCAAAAATGCTAAGTATACAAATGTTCCTAGGAATGTGCCATGACAGTCTCCTAGGCTTTTGCTGTCAGGCCCAGGTAGTCTGAATGTGTTGTCTAAGATGTCAGAGTATAGTAAACGCTATTCTATAGTAACCAGACATGATTGGTAGCTTAAGCCCAAACCTTATGCACAGGTTTTGCTAGCATCCATGACTGGTTTTTTTCCATCACTGTCATGTCTTGTCTGTAGTTTTTATTTTTAAAACCCGATCTGTGGTTTACAGAACAAAAGCATTCATATTTTTAAACCACTTTAGTGTACATCTTTTAAGCCGCAATGCAAATCTTAAGGATTGTTTAGACTCTGACTTCAGGATGTTTGTTCAGCAGGATACTTCATCCTTTTTATGCACTGAGCAGTAATATTTGCTTTGCATTAACCATATAGCATGCTGAAGCTGTAATTTTTACTGGTAAAGTCCGTATAAAGTTTATGGATTAAGTGGTGCATCTAAGTTAATCGCCGTTATTGTATAACATGCTATTCTGCAGAACTGAAAGCTATAAACATTACAGGAAAAAATATTACACATGCCACACCTTTTCAGGTAAAGCCATAGCATCAAGAAATGAAACGCAACTGGTTCTTAAACAAAGCAAACCACTTCCAACAGGACATTCTTCTGGTGTCTACACCCATTCTTAAAATGACACATGTCACGGATGTTTGCTAGTAGTGGCTTTTTACTGATTTTTTTAAAAGCACTAATCAATGTTTCAGAAAATTTGTAATACAAGCCTGGCATGCTTTCAAAACATTTTCTACATTATATGTTTTAAAGTAGACCTTTCCATCACTGGATTGCATCAGAGGACAAACCTGTATGCTCTTGTTTACTTGATATGTTGTACAGGATTTACAGCTGTGTAAAACTGTGGCTGCTACAGAATGTTAAAAATGTGTCCGTGCTAGTAATTAAAAAAAAAAAAAAAAAAAAAAAAAAAAAGGTACTGTTGAACATGTGCTGTTTCTCTCTCCCCCTAGTTATAATGCTTGCTTTAAAAATGTAGGTGCGTACTAATTACAAAGCTGAATTATTTTACTTTTGTTTAGTTTTTTTGGGGGGTTTTTTTTTTCTGCTTGGATTTCAGCTATAACCCTTTTACTGCTACCAACATATTCCATATGTTTGGGAAAGGGTTACACTTTGTAAATCTGACAAGTCTGCTGTACAGTTGCTGTACGCTTCCACACAGCTCCATTAATGTGCCCCCTGTACGCGCCCACTGATGTACCCAGGAACTATTGCGGTGGGTGCCGCAGACTATGAGGGGAGGGAGATCAGCAAACATCCATTCCTTGATTCCTGTTACTGATCCGGGAGCGACATATAAATACTTCAGTTCAGGGTCCTGGTGTTGCTTTTCCCACGCACTTAATGTAAATGCATTCATCGTGGGCACCTACACACAAGTTCTAATGCTCTACTTATGTTACATATCATTGTGCAGGCTAGAGTGAGATCAATAATTCTAGGCCCATTATTTACAGGTAAAATATACCCAGTGGATTGACTGGCCTCAGGTGATGCACATGAAACCTCTTTCTACCGAAGTTGTACCTGTCTTTCTGCAGCCCTCTCATCTATATGCCTTTAAAGTTTGTCTGCGAACTCACGGGAAAAAAAGTAGGGGGGAGTTGCAGAGAACTGAAGTTACACATTGCAGAGCTCGGTGAGGAGAGCTCTGAGAGTGGATCGGAGGAAAGAGGCATACCCCCCCACCACACAGCTCATAGGAACAGAGCCGAGGCTGTCAATCTGTTGGAGGTCCCTCTCCATCACCATTTTTCTCAGATTTGCATCCATCCATGTGGGATTACCATCGAAGTCCTGTGAGGCACCTAAGTGCTATATGACCTTAATGGCTCGGTCATAAATTCCAGGTGAGAGCACATCCAGTGGACATTTTTAAACGTAATTATACATGGCACTATAGAGGTGGTGGCATCCATATCAGTCGATACTGATTTTCTTGCACACAGATGATTGAAAGTGGACATTTCTGTTTACATTTTTGGAGCATTTTATTTTTTGTAATTGTATAGTTTTATGTAATAGTGGATAGAAGTGAAGCGCGGCCCTGCATGAAATAGTTTTGGTTATGTCCCATACTGGATATGAGTATTAGAGCGTGTGATGCAATGATGTGTTAATTTTGCACATAGCAGCTCACAATGTTTTGGTATGAACAGCACAAACTTATGTTATCACTTGCACACTGTGCTCATCCTCATCTTATTACTTGAGCTATATGGACTTGTGCCTTTTTTTTTTTTCTCCAACCAGACTGTCGCATGTAAACAAGTTTTTATTGGACACATACAGTATACTCTGGTTTCTACTGACCACATCAAAAACGCCTGAAAATACGCCTGACATATTTGCAATTGTGCTAAAAAAAAAAAAGCTAAATGCCTGAAAACGGTCAGCTCAAGTGTGAATGTAGCCTTAGGGTCCTTTCACACTGGAGTTCCATATGTTCATTTTTCATCTGTTCATTGGCATTAACAGACCAAAGCCCTATTTTTCTTCTGTTAGAAAAATTAGTTTATCCTCCTTTTTTTTTTTTTTTTTTACTTTTTTTTTTTTTCTGTTTTTCCATTGGTTAGGCATGTCCTAACAACCAGTGACTTATTTCTGTTGTCAATGGGGATTCCTACTGACAGCTGAAAGTAAATGAAAGGAAAAAACTTGTGCGTCCGTTTTTTTCATCCATTCTGTTTTTTTTAACAGAACAAAAATAGG